GATAAAATTCTAAATGAATACATTCGGGAGAATTTAGGTGGGCCACCAATAGGTGATAAGATGAGAGAAAGTATACGTAAGTGGCTGGCCATGTGTGGTGCAGACCTAGTATAACACCCGTTAGGAGGTGCGAGTTAGTTCATGTACAAGGCTAAAAAAGGACAAGGGATATGGACGTTTTATGGCCGCATCCCTTGAGGATGTCAAACGAGTTAGCCGATCTCCTTGGAAAGGACGGGGCCAAAGCTCATGTTGAAGACCAAACTGGGTCTCGCCCCCGTTTTCGATCCGGACCACAGAGGGACCAGGGCGTAGCAGTGCTCGGCCAGCTACTTTTTGTTGCTTTGGATCACAGTGTCTCTGTGTAAAGGGGCAATGCTATAAGCCCATTTTTTGTAATCTCATTGTAAATCTTGTATAATCTCGAGTAGATCTATAAGCCCATTTTGTATAGGGTCGACTGACCTATTTTTTACGGAGAGTCCCGTCATGGAGGGACTCTCGGTTTAAACACTCCATATACAACAACTTTTTATAGCAATACAGTTAACTCTTATAAAAAAAAAAAAGGGCAAGAGGCAGGTCCAAAAGGACATGGTTGAAAGTAGTGAGAAACGATATGGGGACTTATGGCCTTATTGAGGATATGACCCTTAATAAAGCCGAATGGCGGACTAGGATTCGTGTAGCCAACCGCCAAAAGTTGGGAAAAGGTTGACTCTACAAGATTAGGGATTTAGATCCCTCTCATCCAAATTAGAGGTCTATGTGTAAGTAGAATTGAGCCGCCACCAATTTTGGAATCGAGTTTCTTTTACATTGGTACCAAAGGTCACCAACACATTTTGAGATTCATTTATAGTGGAAGCGTGGATAACCAAAATATTTGAGTTGTTGTATTTGTATCACCAGCATTTTTGTCAAATACTAGAGGTTCTTTCATTCCTGATGACTGAAATTTGAATCCTCATTATGGTTTTTCAGTTTCACTTCTCACTTATGAAACAAACTCCAATGATAACAAAAATAAAATTATTTTAAATGCATGATTGTTTGTATGTAATGATACTTTTGGTGAATGCGGAAAAAACATTAAGCATGTTGTTCAACAGATTTTGTTCCCTAGCTAGACTACCCTAGTTAAGTGCCTTTTTAGGGAGCTTCGATACGATGCTAGGCGGACCTCTATCCCATACAGCAGATCATTCAATCTTGGATAAATTTGGATCGCGCTCCCTTCATATTGGGTTCATGATCCCTTTAGCTCATGGTATATGGATTTCGATCCCTATCTGCTTCGATTTGATCCTGCTTTTGATATTGGTAACTCATGGTATATGGATCTTGATCATTTATAGTGGGAGCGTAGATCACCAAAATATTTGAGGTGTTGTATTTGGATCACCAGCATTTTCATCAAATACTAGAGGTTCTTTCATTCCTGATGACTGAAATTTGAATCCTTATTATGGTTTTTCAGTTTCACTTCTCACTTATGAAGCAAACTCTAATGATAATAAAAAATAAAATTGTTTTAAAAACAAGATTGTTTGCATGTAATGACACTTTTGGGTTTTGAATGCAGAAGAAACATTAAGCATATTGTTCAACAGATTTTGTTCGCTAGCTAGAGTACCCTAGTTAAGTGTTGTTTTAGGGTGCTTCGATTCGAAGCTGGGCGGACCTCTATCCCATACAGTAAATCATTCAATCCTGGATAAATTTGGATGGCGCTCCCTTCATATTGGGTTTGTGATCCCTTTAACTCATGGTATATGGATCTCGATCCCTTTAACTCTCGATTCGCGGTTCCTGTCCCGCTTTGGGATTTGATCCCTCTTCTGCTATTGGTAACTATCGGCAGGACCATCCATGGTTGTTGGAAACGCCTGGGAACCAGAATCCTTTTCAGAATCAAAATCGCAACTGGATCGAAGGTTCCTATCTTAGGAATCGTTGTCTGTACAATAGGAATCGCTAGCAACGAGATTCCTAGTTTTAGAGAATCGTGTTTCCACCGAAATAGATCCAAGTTTCATCCACATCTGGAATCGAGATTCCTTCCTCCTTGGAATCGAGATTCCCATCCCCTTGGAATCGACACTCCAGGAGTCAAGATTCCTTTATATGCGGAATAAAGTTCCGACATCTATGGAGTCAAGTTTCTGACATATGTGTCGTGATTCTAACATATTTGGAATCAATTTTTTGAAGTATATGGATAAGAGATCCTTGCCAATTTGAGATCAAGATTTACGATAATATGGACTATGGAATACATTTGACGACCCCTACCAGGAATCGAGATTTCGTTTTTATGGAGAAGGAAGCGACAAGCACATCTTGAGCCTCATCAATATTGGATGTTTCTTATTAGAAGTTTTCCCAAATTTTAACGTATTGTGTTGACTATTGAACTTACGGTCATTATGTACAAAAGACAAGTATTTCTAAATTGTGATTTTGACTTCATTATTATAAAGACAAAATAGGACTATGTCTACGCCATGGTTTTACTTTTAATTATGTGTTTTATTTACCAGTTATATTTTAAATTTAAAGTAAAGGCGATCCAAGGTGGCACAAGTAAAATAATGTTACCTTGTAACCACTAGAAGCATTCGGAGGAAGATTTCTACTCTAATTGACGTGGAATCAAGATTTAAGCCTCGCTGGAATCCAGATTCGATATATTTGAGAATGTTTACCCACAATTAATGGGTTCAAGTTTCTAAAGATGCGTTGGATCGAGATTCCGAAATTAAAGCATCGAGTTTCTTTGGTTCCGATAAATGGTTTCTAAAGATGTGCTGAATCGAGATTCTGAAATTAAGGAATTGAGTTTCCTTGGTTCCAAAAAATGGTATCTAAAGATGTGTCAAAGCGAGATTTTGAAAAAGGAATCGAGTTTCCTTTGTTCCGAAAAACGGCTTCCGTGGAGATTCCTTAACGGAGTCGCGGAATCAGGTTTCAGAATCGGAAACGCGAGGTCGGTGGAGAGATTATGGTAACTATGGGACCACCCTCACAATAGCAATGGAATGGTATCCAATATGCAGGTGTTCCATATGTCGCTGTTCTAGATTCATATTCACATATTTTAAGTGGCTGGAGTGCTTGATGAGAGATTTCTTATGGTGAGGCACAAGGAGGAAGGGGTTGAAGGGTCTTGCAAACTCTGCCTGGCCAGTTGTGAGCACATGTTTAAGCTCAAGATAAGGGTTAGGCTAGGTATTAAGAGAATCAATGACTGCAACTCTGCTCTCCTCTGCCAGTGGTGGTGGGATTTGCAAGTCAAAGTGGGCGTCTGTTGCAGAGACCAGTATAGCCTTGAGGATTTGGGATGGTTGCCGAAGGCCAACATGAGTGGCAGTGAGTTAATTGCTGGGAAGGGCATTGCCTAAATAGTGCATGGGGATTTATCTGCATAACCAGGTTTATATAAAAAGCAGGGGAAAGGATAAGATTTCCCTGGAATTTTGGGTTCGTGAAACGACTTTGAAAATCTAATTCCCAGGCCTGTTCTCTTTAGCAACTAATCAGAGTCCTCAGATTGTGCATTCCTTCAAGGTGCTTGGGAGTATCGTCATACTGTCCTCAAGATTTATGAGAGATCTTTGAAACTCAGGGGCCCCTGATTTGGAGGCCCGTCCTCCTCACAAACAAACAGTATCTCCAGTTCAGGCAGGGATTGACTGGTTGATTCTTCAGGTTGCGTCACTGTTTCCTCTGCGCATATAATGTTTTGAACCCAACTAGCAGCATGCTGGCCTTAGCCCTAGAAACTCTGGTGCATCCTTATCACCCCGAAAATTCAGGCTTTCAAGTGGTTGATGAATTGCCATGAAGGCCCTCACCATTGATCGAATCCAAAGGAGAGGAATCTCCATCCCAATTCTTTGTGTCATACGCAGCAGGTGAGCAAACAACAGACCATTTGTCCCTCCATTGCTCATTTGCGGCTCATATCTGGGGCTTTATCCGTGGCCTAGTCAATTGGGTGCCGGTGTGGCCTGAGAATGTCCAGGTGTAGGTGATCTTATCAGGTTACTTCAATTTGCCTTTCCCTGCTGACAGACTCTTCTTGTGGTGGGCCACCTTGGCTGCCATATGGACAACATGGCTGGAGTGAAACTCTCGAATTTTTGAGAGTAGGGAGAGATATCTGTGGTTTTTTGTCAACAGGATTGCAGCCACTGTTACTTCCTAGTCAAGCAACAGAAAGGAATTTCTTGGGTGGTCATCCTCACATGAACTGGGAACTCATCTTGAAGTCCTGGCCTATGGAGGTTTCTAGATCTGATTGGTGGTCGTTTCAAACCCTCTGGTTGATAAAGCTAAACTATTTTGGTTTCTCTTGGCAACCTTGGCCTGGCTGGGGCTGGGGAGATTTTTGGATCTCATGTGCTTGAACTCCTGTTGACTTTCTCTGGAGTTATCGGTATCTCAAACTCTAACATTGCTGAAGTGATGGCTTTGCTGGAAGGGCTCAACATAAAATCAATTGTTTATCAAAAGGAAACGCATAATTGCACAAGCTTGAAGATACTAGCTTTAGCTCCAAACAATTTGAACACATCTTATCCCTCGTCTTTCCCCATTTGGATGTCATTGCTCACTGGCCATGATTCTGTCTCCTATGTCTGGCATCCAAATGTTAGAGATACCAGATGAAGTAAACTATGTTTACAGGGTTGCTTACCTGCATGATATGGTGCCAGTGTTGGACACGGTTAATCATGTTTGCTATGTTGTTGCACAGTATCAATTGGATATGAATAGATCTTCATCTATTGAAGACATAAAACCGTATTTAGAGTCAGCAAATGTTTGACTTCGCAAAGACTCCCGTGCTTCTTGCTTTCAAGTTCTTTAATGTATTAATGTTGTATACATTTTCATTGTTTGGGATGTTTACTCTGCTTTTCTTAGCAAGAAATTATTTATCTTCAAAAAGTAATGATTGATCAACTGATGGAATATTTCTTTCTTTCTTATAGGAAAGGATACAATGTTGTAATGACTACTAGCCTTTCATCTGATGTTCCTGTTGGCTACTTTTCGTGGGCTGAATATGACATAATGGCACCTGTACAACCAAAGACAGAAAAATCGCCTGCAGCTGCCTTCATATCTAATTGTGGAGCTCGTAACTTCCGTTTGGAGGCTCTTGAACTTCTTGAAAAGATGAATATACAAATAGATTCTTATGGCGGTTGTCATCGGAACCACGATGGCAGAGGTATGTAAAACATGTCTTTATAAAGCCTCTATGCTGACTTGTATTTTTTTACGGTAAAGTATATTTGTTTTGGTATATAATACTAAAAGTCGTATTAATATGGTTTCCACTTTTGCAATTCATTTGAATAAGTATGGCTTGTTATGGTAAGTAAAAGAACAAAGCAGGAATAACCATTAGTGGAGGAACTGATTGCTCCGTCTCAGGGAGCTCCATTCCACTCTTTGCTACGCCTCCTCTCCCAGCTGCACTCTAACGCCCCCCACCCTTATGCTTCCCATCCTGCCCCTCCTCGACCTCTGCCTCCCCTTGCTTCTTCTTCTTTCCGTCCACTCAATGAGAAATATACACATCTCATCCATAACACCAAGCAAACCATTCCCCAGAGCGTTTCCTTTCCACCCCAGCCCTCCAACCTCCAAAACCATCCTAATCCCCATCCCATGCCCCCTCTCTACCCTTCTTACTCTCGCTCGCTTGCCCCTTTCTCCATTCCAGTAGGGGGTAGACACTCTGCTTTTATTGAGAAGGCTATGGATTTAACCCTAGTGGGCCATTTCAAACCCCACAGTGACAAGAATTTTGGCATTGAGAAATGGAGCAAACCATTGGGCCATCCCGGACCTCTCTTGCTGGACACTATCTTCAGGTGATGTCCTCTTTTCTTTCCCCTCGGAAGAGAACCTACTCAGTGCTTTCAACAGTCCAAGCCATGACCTTTGGTTCAGAGGCGCTTTTTTCTCCCTGCAACCATGGAATAAGGAAATGGGCTCTGCTAAGCCATAGAAAATATGCTTGACTGCCTCCCGCATTCCTCTCCAAGCTTGGCATTTCGATACATTTAAGAAGATTGGAGACTCTTGCAGGGCCTTCATCTCAGTTCAGTGGAATTCCTTGGCTTCTCTCCCCCTTCGTTCCATTCAACTCTTGGTTGAAACCCTTATCTCATCCTTAATCCCTAGCTTTTGATAGGTTGAGACCAATGGCCTTTTCTTTCGCATCCCGCTGGCTTGGTCTCCATCGTCCCCTCCATCTACTCACCATATCCTAGACAACGGAGCCTTGCACCATACTCCTAGGGCACGCAATCATCCTGTGGACAGGGAAGGCTGGCCACTTTTTCTCGTAAGCACCAAAGATGGGATAATCGTGGCTGTAGACACAATCGTTGACGGCGTCCCAACCTTCCACCAGCTAATCGTAGGGTTTTCCCAAGGGATCGCCACAACAACAGGGAAGTGGATGCAGCCGTAACTATCATGCCCCTCGGGACAGGTATCGCCCATTCTCGCCTTAGTCATCCTGCCCCTGGCACTTCATCCTTGGCCCATGTGTTAGACCCCTTTGCATCCAATCACATGCTTACGCGTGCCTCTCTTCATGTGACGAACGAGGCCTGCCTTCCCCCACACGCCTTGTCACCACCTTCTTCTTCCCCAAAGGCTGCATGCCTTTCTATTACGGCTGCCACCCAACGCTTGCCTCGACACTCAACGGCTGCCACTCAACCCTTACTGCCTCACTCAATGGCTGGATCCAGCTGTCACACATGCCCCTCATACAATTCCCCTTACGTGACCTTGCCCCATTCATCCCTCGGCACCACCCTACAGGTGTCACCTCAAGGGCTGCCTGACGGTGAAGACGGCATGCCTCCCCACTTCAAACAGTTTGACCCCTCTCTCTTGCCCCTTTCTTCAACCTACCCCTCCTCGGGCCCCCCACCACAGACCCTTTTCCTTGAGCTCTGTCAACCTCCACCCTCCCAGGTTCCCAGCCTTTTGCAGCCGGCTCCCTCTACCTCTCCCATTTCCTCGTCCCCCTCATCTCTCAGCCTCCAACCCTTTCTCCCTTAACCCCTTCCAACCGTCTCCCCTCAGTGCCTCGTCCTTCTTCCTCTCTACCTCCTTACCCCTCTTGATCTATCCCCCTTTACCCCACGCTCCCCCGTATCCCGTCATCTCACATCTCCCTCTCGCCCTCTCCTCCCTCTTCAATCCCTTCACCTCCCAACCTTCCTCCACCCCATCTCAATCTCCAGTGGCTTCTCTTCTCTGGCCCTCCCCTCTGCAGGGACCCCCTTCTACCCTTTTTCAGTGCTTTCGCTTTCGTCCTCTTCCACCTCGGGTAATATTTTGGCGCTACCGAGCTATGACCAGACCTCCTCCTCCTCCTTATTATCCTACCCAGCTGGACCATGCCTTTTCCCCCGTTGTATCGCACCTCCCCCTCCTTTCCTTCCTCCAACCCCTTCGGGCTGGGTATCCTTTCGCATTCCCCATCGTGCCACCCCTCCTCCTCCCTCGATAGAGGATTCTTCGCAACCTCAGTTGACTCCAACTTTGTTGAAGCTCTGGACTTCGCTCAAGGTAACACTAAAGAGGTGCTTCAAGCGATGGGGCTCGAGTTCGATTGGCCTGCGGCTTTAGTAGCTTTTATCAAGGCTGATGCCCAACTCAGGGCTGCAGAGAAAGCCAAAGCAAAAGCCAAAGGTAAGGTTCCAACAACCACTCGCAAAGGACAGTGAGAGCTCACCAATCTTCACATCAGCATCAAATACGGCAAGGGGAAATCCTCTACGCCTCCTCCCATGGCTCCACAGCCTATTAGACGCTCGACGAGGCGAGCCCCTCCCCCTCTGTCTTCATCATGAAGATTTTGATTTGGAATGTTTGGGGCCTGGGCAACCCAATAAGTGAAGTTCAATTTGTGACTTCAATGCCAAATTCTTCCCTTCCCTCCTCAGGTTGGTAGAAACTAAACTTCCCTCTCCCTCCCTTCCCTTTATTCGACAAACATGGGGCTTCATACCCTGCCAATGGGTGTCCCTTGAAGCCCAAGGAGCTTTGGGTGGAATTTGGGTCCTTTGGGATCCAACCATCCACGCCAATGATTCAAAAAGCGGACCCCCCAGCGCCTAGGCGTCCGTCTAAGCGGTCTAGAAGGCCTGGGTGCATCGCTCAGGCCTAGGCAGCCAATCTGGGCGGTAGTCCCTGGGCGGCCACCTAGGTGGTATGGAACCCGCCTAGGCGGGTGCCTAGCGCCTAGGGCCTGTGCCCTACCTAGGCGGGTGCCCCGCCCAGAGGCGGAATTTTTTTTTTTTGTATTGATTTTTTTTTTAAAATATAAAGAGTTAGAAGGATGGTTTTAAGTTAATTTGAAACCTAAAACTTATTGGAGCCCATTTTAGAGAGAGAAAGCCTCCAAAAAACTAGTTTTTAGTGATTTCTTTAGGATCGAAGGGTTTCTCAAAGTTGACAAAAATTGACCAAAACATCACCCATTGATATTAGATTAAATTTTTGATATTTTATAAATCTATTGGGAGTTTTTTAGAAGATTTTGAGTCCTTAGAAGCATCTTTGAGGTGGGAGTTTGAAGATTGAGCAACTAATTTTTATTTTTTATACTATATATCATTTTTTATTCAAATGGGCATCCTTTTTGGATTCGATTGGGCCGCTTAGGTTCTGGACGCCCGCCTGGGCGCCCGCCTAAGCATTGGGGGGCCTGAACCCCCCGGGCCGCCGAGCGCTTTTTGAAACACTGATCCACGCCGTAGTCAATCACCACATAGGGCAATTTTTTGTCGCTGTTACACTTTCTAAAATTACTGATAGCCTCTTGTGGAAGACCACAATGGTGTATGGACCCAACTCGGACTTTGCCAGAAATGCCTTCTAGGGAGAACTTCAACATGTTGTGTCCCTGACCCCATCCATTTAGTACTTGGGAGGTTATTTCAACGAAACTAGATGGTCTTATGAGAGAAACTTCAATGATAGGATTGCCCATGCCATCCAATTCTCGGTTTTTATATACCAAAACCACCTACTTGACATTCCTCCAATCACTTCTCAACCTTATCTAAGCTGGACAGGTTCCTCACCTCCCTTGAATGGGATTGTCTCTTCCCTGAAACCCACTTCTCTGTCCTCCTCAAGCCTGCTTTTGACCACCGTCCCATTTTACTTGACACTCAGGCTGTTCGAGGGGGCCTAAACCTTTTCGATTTGAAAACGCTTGGTTCAAGGAGGCTGACTTCTCAGCTATGGTTCGTTCGAAGTGGGATTCTTTTTCCACCCAAGCTCATGGATGGGTTGGCTTTAGGCTTTAGAAGAAACTTCATCTCTGTAACAATGCTTACTTTCACAAGATTGGCTTTAGGATTTGGGGACCTCAACAATGCTAACTTCCAAAAATCCTAGGGCTGATCATGTTGATTGGAAGATTCTTGATGAAACCCTTCTTCGAATGGGGTTGGAGGCTAGATGGAGAATATGGATCCAAGGCTGCATTTCCATCCCTTTTTCTCCATGCTCATCGTAGGCTCCCGCAAGGGGTACTTTCAGGCCTTAAGAGGCCTACGACAGGGTGATCCTTTGTCGCCCTTCTTCTTTGCCATAGTAGCAAAGGTGTTCAGTGCCTCCATATTGAGGATGTATCGACTCCTTTCTGGCTTCAACATAGGAAGGTCGGGCCCTGTTGTAACCCACCTTCAATACGCAGGCGAATACTCTTATCTTCTGCAATATCTCCCAGCAGCAAGTTGACAGTATTCTCTTCCTCAAATGTTTTGAACTAGCCATTGGCTTCAGAGTCAACGTGGCAAAATCTAAAATGATGGGTGCCATTGACATTCCCTTGGTCCAGAGCCTTGCTGTCCTATGGGGTTGTGTGGTTGATAACCTCCCCTCCACCTATCTTGGGCTTCCCCTTTGCCTCGGCATGCCTAGACTTAACCTATGGAGCCCAATAATTGATAAATTTGAAAGGTGGCTTGCAGCTTCAAAAAAAGGGAGATTCTTATCCTCGGCTGGAAGAGTGATACTCATCAAGGCCACCCTCTCTAGTATTCTTCTTTTCCTGATGTCTCTCTTCCTCATGTTGGCCCCGGTTACGAGATGGAAAAACTCATGAGGGATTTCTTGTGGTCAGGTGAAGTGTGGCCATAAATTCCACCTTATCTCCTGGGTGAAGGTGTGTTTACGTAAGTCCCGTGGTGGTCTTGGCATTCGCAGCCTAAGAACCACCAGCCTGGCTCTTTAGGCAAATGGTGGTGGTGCTATGCCATGCAACCTAATCACCCGTGGAGAGTGGTAATCTCCTGTAAATACTGCTGTCAAGACCACGAGTGGCTGCCCTCTATCAGATCTACAGGCAACATTTCTGGATTTTAAATTGCTGTCCAACACTACCGAAGCTTATTCTTGCAAGGATCTGGTACCGTCCAAGGTTGAGCAAAACTCTCTCTTTTTGGCATGATTTAGGTTGGTGGCAGCCCTCTTAAAGAATTATTCCCCTCTCTCTTTCGGCTTGCCCTTAACCCCAATTCAACTGTGGCTGACTGCTTTGCTCGCTATGGGGACAGTAGAACTTGGAACCCCAATTTCAGAAGAGCCCTCAGCAATCTAGAGATTGGACACTTTTCGTATCTCTCAGCCCTCTTACACTTGTTTTTTCTTCCTCCTTCCCTTGTATCGGGAAGACAAGATCATCTGTTCCCTTGCCACTTTGGGGATCTTCTCAGTAGCTTCATTCTACCTAGCCATTACCATGACCTCTTCTACAATCAATGCTTGCCCACCCCCCCCATAACTGCCAAAGCCTGGTTCCCCTCCATTCCCCCAAAGATCCAAGTATTCATTAGGATCATCCTTCATGAAAGGGCCTTAACCCTCGACTAACTTCAGAGGAGAGGCCTATCTTTTCCAAACTGATGTGTCATGTGCCTCTCAGCTAAGGAGTCTAACTCCCATCTTCTCAGCCACTGTGATGTAGCTGCAGCCCTTTGGACTGATGTGCTCAACCTCTTCAAGTGGCATTGGGTCACCCTGCATTCCATCCCTCAGCTCTTCTCCATTTACCTGGGTACTCCTTAGAGCATTTGTGGTTAATTCCTTTGGAGAGTCTCCATTGCTGCTATTTTGTGGACTATCTGGCTAGAAAGAAATAGCAGAATCTTTAGGGGGGAAGTTGCTTCGATCCCCTCCTTAATTGACAAATATTGTTCTTTAGTCTCATTCTGGGCCATAAACCACAAACTCCTAAAAAATTACTCCTTTGCAGACCTGTTTCACAACTGTCATGAACTTCTATTTCTGAGAACTCCTAGGATCTCTCTCTACTCTTGTGGAGACTATCGTGCGTTCGGCAAACCTAACTTAATGTTAATGGTTGCTCTCTTGGCAACCTGGGCCCCTCTGGGATTGGGGGCATTTTCTGAAATTCTGAGGGCTCCAACCTCCTTTCTTTCTCCCTGCCTGTTGGAGTTATGGATTCCACTACTGCAGAGGCCAAGGCCTTACTCGAAGGGCTCCGAACACAGAAGTGATAGTTGAAGGTGACTCTAACAACATGATCACTTGGGCCTTTGGGGCAGCTTTATGGCCCTGGAGACTAGATCACATCTTCGACGTAATCTCTCAGATTTCAAGCACATTGAGGGTTATCTGGAACCATGTTTTTAGAGAAGCCAGTGAGGCAGCGGATGCTCTAGCTAGGGAAGGAGCGGATCTAAATTCTAACATGGGATCTGCGGGCATTTTTTAAGCTTTCTTTTCTCACCCTCCACCTTTTTCCATCCTCTTGCGAATCTGATGTAGAGCATTGTTTGACCCTTAGTGGTTTTTGTATAGGGCACCCAAATCCTGTGTTGCCTATATTTTGTTGTGGTCGGATTACAAGAAATGTTTCTCTGATGTAAATAATTGAAATTTATGGTCTTTGTTTGCCTCTTAAAACTTTTGAATTATGGTTTATTAATGGTAGTTTAGAAGGCTTTGACTTCTGTTAATGTTTATCTATATTTTCAAAAGGGGAATATTTCTATGTGACCCCAACAACATATAAGTTATATGTGACCTCACTTTTTAGCCGTTTGATCTGAATTGATGGTTACGATTGTTCACACCACAATGTCATGCCAAACACTGTTTTATTTTTGTTTTTTTTCTTCAGAACATTTTTGGATGAAATTTTGGGCGTCCCATCATAAAATTAGGGTGAACCTAGAAAAAAAAAAAAAACAAGTATTTTCTGTAAAAATAAATAACCAAAATTCCCCTGCAATTTTCAGGGATATTCTGATAATTTTTCATCACCGGAAATGTTTTTTTATTATTTTTATCATGAGCAACCGTGTCAGATCTATGCATGCCCCAAATTTTGCTTCAAAATTATTTGTAGAAAAAAATAAATAATAAAAAACTATGAGCCGTTCGATCAAGATCCAACGGTCAAGCTCCAACTTATGACATTGTGACTCAAGCCATCTCAGCCATCTATTTTGATCTGATGGCTGAGATCAGGGGTCACATATAAAGCTTTCCCTTTTCAAAATGATGTCTTTTTCTTCTCACTCAAGCTAGAGATATAATGTCTGGCATTGTGGCAGATAATAGTATGATTGAATTGTTTCTGTTCCTTGCATGTTAAAGTTAAATAGATTGTCTTCGGTTCTTGCATGATTCTTTATTAATGGAAAAATATTTAAATAAATAAAAAAATACAATGGAAAGTGTTAACGAAAAAGCACTTGGTTTCCATGGAAGTCCCTCTAGTGGTTGTTGCATGCTTCACAACTAACATAATGAACTTTCTTTGATTATAAAACAGTGGACAAGGTGAAAGCTTTGAAGCGCTACAAGTTCAGTTTGGCTTTTGAAAATTCTAATGAAGAAGATTATGTTACAGAGAAATTCTTTCAGTCACTCGTTGCAGGTATGCTAATTTCATTGTCTTATTTGCACATTTGATTTATGCAGATTTGTCTGTGTATGTCTAAAATGCCCTTCGCTCGTGGAAACTTAAATGGATTTTACTTCCTAATATTCTGGGAAATGCTTCCAATTGAAAATGATCAAAACCTGCTTCAGGTTTGGTGGTTGCTTTGCATAGAGAGAGAGAGAGAGAGAGAGAGAGAGAGAGAGAGAGAGAGAGGTAGTGATACTATATATAGTATAGTACGTACGTAGTACGTAGTAGTACGTCGTTAGTTACTAATAAGTTTAGTTTAGTTACGTATATAGTCGTAC